CCTCCAGCGCCAGAAACAGTGGGGAGCCCGGTAGACGCCAGTGATCCAAAGCCGGGTCTTGAAAGGAGGATTAGAGACATGCTCTGATTTGCAATTCACACTAATGCACCCCGTGGAACCTTTGGTAATTTTTCAAACCACATTTCAAGGGAAGTGGCCTTAAAATCACCGCCTAAATTGTGCTGGAGAAACAGAGCACCCTCCAGTCATCCGTTTTATGATGTGGGTGCTTTTCTGTTTGCTTCTCGCCGCCCCCGCCCTCCCCGCCCCCACGTCTTACGACGCGCGTTTTTAGGTGTAATTAAAACTTGTGTGCCTGTTGAATTTGCTGCAGTTTGCACGGCTTCTCGGGTGGTACACGCTGTGAGTTTCTCTAGTTAGTGTCAATTCAGATGACTAAAGGTATTTTCCTTGGGGAAAAATGCGGGGCGGTGGGGTGGCAGGGGGGTGGCGTGGGGGATAAGCATGACTACTTGGTTAGAAAATAGAATTTTCCATGCCTGGTTTTTTTTTTAATCTGATAAATAAGTTTCTGCAGAAACGTCACACCAGATGAGGTCAGCGAAAACAGTGCCTTTTGGGATCAGAGACCCCTCTGCGTGTCAGGCAATTATTGGCAAATAGATCCCATCTCCTCTCGTTCTTACTTGAAAGGAGAACTGGAAAACTGCTGATGAAATACAAACACTGATGACATTAGAAGATAAAAGGAGAAACACAACAGTCAGTTCACAGCATCGCCGAGTCTCCATGTGCCAAGAGAGACGTTCCAAGTGAGAGTTCCTGGAAAACACAGATAACTGAGCCACATTCTACTTTCAACTTTACCAACACTCATCTGTGTCTTTTCCTAAGCGTTGCTGATAGTCCTAGAGTTTGCTCTTACAATTAGCTTGCACGGTGCTAAGTCTACGCTTTAACTTCTGTTGCTGAAACATTCAGTATTTTTCACCTTAAACAGCCTACTCTGGGTTTCCTCTAATCTCATTTCAGGAAACCCCGTCCAGGGCTTATAATTTCTGCTGACTGTAACATCACAAGGAGAGAGACAACTTTGATTTTTAGCAGTATCGGCGTGGAAGTCTTTTCTGCTTTGGACTTTACTAGAACGAGCTGAAACTCTGCAGCCTCTCGCAATCCCCTTCCATCCAAAAATATTTAGTTCTTGGTAAAATACTGTCTTCTTAAATATTCCTGTTTAAAAACCTTATACTTTTCTGGGTAAACATTTGCAAGAATTTGAAGGTAATTAATGTTGAAGAGTAGCTCTCCTCTATCTTTTTTTAGGTGGTTGGGGTAAAAATAAAATATATATATATATATATATTCCTTGTCCCTGCATGTTATTTGAAATCATGTTTAATGATAAAGTTTCAGGAAAAACCTTTGCTCAAAATTTTAGAGGCCTAATAAGATTTCCATTAATTTAAACATATCACTACTCCCACGACAGCCCCAAATGCTTTCTTTTCCCGCTTTCATCCATGGTTAAATATGTAAATAAAATGTCTAAAGTCATTCTTCAAAGAAGACAAAAGAAAAAAGAGCTGAGGGGAGAGACAGCCATAAAATTCCTCCCAGTTCTCCATCACATTTGCCAGAGGGGGTCCAGTTGCCAGGCAGGGCTGAGCAGCAGGGGACCTCAGCGCTCTTAGAATCACGCATCTCAAATCCCACACACAGGAAAAAAAAATAAAATAAAATATCTTTTCAGCTGGAGCCATCAAAAGGCCCTTTTCATTTATTAGTTGCAGAGTTATCTTGCAGTTGGTGATTTCTCAGCCCTCATTTTTCTATCATAATGTCTATTTGTTGGTTTCCCTCTCAGCTGGGCAGAGCGAAGCACTTCTGCAGACATTTTTATAAAAAAAAAAACACGGAGAGAAGGCGGCAATCTGGAGTGGTTATAGCTCCAATAATGGGTCTGAACGCGGCTGAATTAAAGCAGCACATAAAAGACCAATTAGGAAGTGCTCTCTCAAATAGCGCACCCTGCTCTTGGTGTTGGGCGCTCTCCCTAACTCTTTCACGCTGGCATTTTCCTAGTTTCTGGGGGAAAGAAAGGAAAAGAGGGGAAGTGATGCCCAAGGAAGGACCTTGGCAAGGAAAATTCTAGAAAAGCCAAGGGATGTCTGCTGAATCTTTTTTTTTTTCACATAAAGGTTTTGAAAACGGCTCACTAGACCTAAAAAAATCCAAAAAACCAGAAACTACCCCCCTCTAAAAAAATCCCGAACTATCATAAGAAAAAAGGCAGCCTTTTAAAAGCATCTGGGGGAATATTCCAGCTGAAGGCGGTTCCGGCTGCGCTGGCATCTCCCTGCACCACGTTTCCCTCCACTTTCTTCCTCGCCCCAACCTCCTCCACCGCCTCACACCCAGATCCAGGGACCCTGATTCAGGGCCGGGCGCGTCCTAGCCTCCTCTCGTCCTTCGCTGGGTGGGTGGGTGGATGGGTGGGAGGAAGAAGTGGGTACGTGAGTTCTCTCTCAGGGGAAGTGCCCCACCTCCGCCACCGCTCACAGAAGGCGTCCCAGGGGCGAGTGTCTGACAGCAGCTTCCTCCCGGGGCGCTTCCGAGAAATAGCTGGGAAGCCCGCAGCGTCTGCGGCGCCTGCGAAGCCCGGGGAAGGCGGCCAGGCTGAGAGGGCCCAGCACCGATTCCCAGGGACGTCTGTGCACACCGCACACCTCTCCAGTGTTAGCCTGAGAGAGAGGCCTCTGCGCGCCGCGCCCGCTCCTCCCGCCCGGAACGTCCTCCGAGGGCCCCCTCTGTGCGTGATCCTGGGAGTTCCAGCAAACCTTTAAAGGATCCTGACCTCGGAAGGCGTCTAAGAGGAGACAGACCCGGCCACCTCCTAGGGGTACTGTTTATCGAAGGGTTAATGCCGGAAGCCAGGTGAAGCGCGGTGCAAGCTCTTTGGAGGTGAGCCGTGGGTGTGGGCGCCCACCGCGCACAGCCGCCACGGGGGGAGGGGGGCGTGGTGTTCCAAGTGACTTTATGACGAACTGGCCCCATCCAAGGGGGGTGATCCAAGGACGCTGAGCCAGGACGCTCCTTCCCCCCTTTTAATGCAAACCGAGAGGCATGGGCGCCTCCCCCTCCCCCGGGAGTTGGGGACCCTCGGAGCCAGCTGACTCAGCGCCCTCCCACCTCCCACCGCCAATTCCGCAGCATCCCAGGGTCTGTAGCCAAGGAGGGAGCAGGCCCGGCAAATCACTCGCCAAATAATATAAATACCCGACAAGCGAATGACTTCCTATAATAAATAAACTCCGCCGCCTAGAAGAAATCACCAGCCCTCCTGGCGCGAGGCCCCTCGACTCCGCGGCTTCACCGGGGGCGGGGGGCACTGGCCCACAAACCGAGTCCCCACTTCCCGAGGGGGTGGGGGTGGGACCTGAGAGTCCCAGGAAGCTTCCCGCCCCTGCCCCTCCCCGCCTTCTTGGCGGAGACCTCGGAGGAGCGGCCCTAAAACCTGGGTTCCCAGAGCCCCGCCCCATCCCACCCGCCCTCGGCTCTTTCCTTTGAAATTTCAGAGAGCACCCCTCCCCGGGGCCGGGGCCCCGACGCAGGCCTGGTAACTCTGCAGCCGCGG